TGCCATGACCCAGATGTAGGACCTTGCATTAAGGTCAAGACTGTTGAACTCTCCTCTATCTTCAACTTACCAACCCAATTTATTAAGGTACGATCCATCCTAATGAAAAATCTTTGCAAGCCTGGAGCCTATGAAAAGCCTAGATGCAAATACTAATACCAAAACTTCTTCACATTGCAAAAATAAATTAATTTTACTTGGTAGCAAGAACTTCAAGGAGCTGCTGGCAACAGCTCTGTATGTTCTACCCTCAACACTTTTCAGAAATACCCCGTTCTTGGACACTGCCTGTCACCCTTCTATCCACGCTTTCTTAGAAGCATCCCAGCTCCAGTTAGCTAGGGACCACTCCAGTCACTCCTAAATCTACTTGTTTCTGCTCTAAGTTCTCCAGACATACTGTCCTTTTAAAACAAAGAAATTGATATAGGATTTATTTTCTTACAGACACATATTGCAATTACACGTACTTTATCTTTGCTTCTTCAAAAAGTAAAGTATTGAAAAATTTTTAGTGAATACTTATCTGCACATATATGACTGTCTTCAAAAGCTCCAAATTCAGAACAATTGGTTGAACCTACCTATATTCCTTGTTTCAAAAAACTTTCCCTTTTTTAGTCAGGAGAGACTTCATTAAAAAAAAGGGAAAAAAACCAAACCCAAACCTTAGATGTGGGGATTGGATATATCCCTATCATACACATGCAGACTGACAATGCCAGATGAACTTTGTATGACTTGGTCGGGCTGCTTTCAAGCCTAAGACACAACATCTCACCAGATCAACTTCAGCTCTGGTTCACACGGACATGCCTCGCTCCCCTCAGGATAATCCACTGACAGAGATGGATTACAAATCTATAGGTTGGGAAAGCAGTCACTGATGGGTCAGATATCACACAAGCGTTCCTGCTCCGTTGGCACTATGGCAGCTCGCAGCAGGCAGCCGGGGGAAGGCGTGGGGCCGGGAATGCGACTTGCTATAGTTAGCTGCGGCCGAGCAGGGTTGGGTGCCTTGTCACTGCAGGCTCCCCAGCAGCGGGGTGCGGGTGAAGGAGGCGGCAAGGGGAGGGCACGGGGACTGTAAGCTCAGTTTCTGGCTCCAAGCGTTCAAGCAGCATTACTGGCTTCATGCTGCACCCAGAGCCAGCTCAAACGAAAAGACGTACCCTCAACCTCACGGGGAAAAAAGTTTAGTTGTTCAGAAACCCAAGAACAGCTCCCATAACAAGAGGGGTGAAAAATCACACACCAGCAGCAAAGCACACATAGGTCAGAGCCTTAAGGAAACAGCTGAAGTAGCACAGTGGCTACTCAGACCCTCACTTCACACCCTCTGCACGTTACATGCCCTCTCACAGAAACCTTCCAGTAAAATTGCTTCCAAGAGATCAGAGGATGAGAGTGGCCATTTCTTCCCCTCTGACTCCTGAAGAACACCTGGGCACAGCTTTAACCCTTCATATACAAGCAAGGCCTCTCCTTCCTCCAGAGGATGAGAAATAATTTGCAGACCACCTTTAAAAACTATGCCACAAGTTATTTTATAACGCTTACATTAAACAGAACAGTGAACTCACAGATAAGAAGTACATACTGCTTGATTTGCATTGACATCTTTGTTTACTTAAATTTCTGCTGCTGTTCAAAACCTTCTAAAGCTAGAGTCCCTATTTGGTGTTTCCCCAATGAGTGTTGCTTTTGAAATCTGTAGTAAGATAACAACAACATGAGGTATTTCTCTCTGATCAGGAAAATATAAGCTATTTCTATTTGGTGCACTAAAGCTGTGTTCACCCATAGGAAAAATAATCAAGTTTAAATATATTTAACAGTGCCGCTAGTATTCACATTACAAAGGATTACATTCTTTCAAAGCACTTACCAAAACCACTGCAAAACTTGTGAATACTTGCCTAAGGATCTGCCTATATATACATACACCGTAAGAGCGTTCCCATTTTCTCACCTGCACGCCCAGACAAGATAATAATTGTGCATTCTACTTCTCTGGGGTATGGCTACTTAAGGAAAGAATCTGTGTGTACATGGAATTATCTCCAGAAGATATCTGTAGAGTATGGTCAGTTTATGTTGTAACCAGTATCACACTTCAAAGGTTACCAGTAATTCTCCAAATTATCTCAGTAAAGAAATTCTACCTGTACTGAAGTTTCTACCTTTAATTTCCGTTAGCTTCAGCTTTAGTCTAAAGACTAAATACTAACATCTTGACACAATTTAATCTTGACTTTTCCCTCAGTTTGCTGATTTTGGCTGCTGCGAATTTTTTAATCAAAACATAAAAGAGGTTCTTTAAAGAGAATATATGGACATATCAGAACAAAGTGTTATCACCTGAAACACTGCGTATGTGGATCTAGAAGAGGATAAATAAAATAGTATGTTACCATCTCTGTTTTCTCTGTCACTCTTTTCTATTTTATTTGGAAATATGATAGTCATTTGATTCAATGTTATTTTACATAGAGGTTTTGAGAGAGTGGCTGGAGAGAGGCAGACAAAGTATTAGGTCCAGCCCCTCCTGAATCCAGGTTGTTAACTGTTGGTATGTTGTGTGCCCATGTGCCCAGACATCTATTAATGTTTTGATGAAGAATGCTGCATAAGATGTATTTTTTTACAGTAACACTAACCACTGGTTGCTACCACTAGTTGCAAGTTATAGATTTGATTTAAAAACAATGTGTTGATATAAACATTTTGGAGGTTGCAGGCAGGAAGAATTTTACTCACTTCTGAATAAAAAAAAAACCTATCAGGAGTGGGAGTAGCAATACAATTTATGAAAGGGTTTAACTCCCTCTTTGATATTCACTTATAATACCACATTACCGGGAAGGACTTCTTAACAGAGGTTCTTTTTCTGTGCTAACTTCCTAACTTTCCATACAGCCTCTCACCATGCAGAAGGTTTTATTTTCTTTTGATTAAGAAAATAAATCTAAAGTCTTTTTAGAATTAATTGCCAAACTCATGCAACTCCAGGCTTCAAAATTAGTGACTTAACCTGCATAAAGTTTCACGTGTCCAGCCTTTTCTTTTGAACTTGGCAAAAACAGTTGTACGTTTGGCATTTCACATTTAAAACTTATTGATGATAAACACGTTAGAGTTAGTAGTTTTAGTTCCTTTCTCTTTCTAGTTAACTCTTCTGTTTTTCCTCATTTATACTTTTTTGCTTGGTGCATTTTCTTCTTTTTTTTTTTCTTCTATTTCAACAGTTACATCTTTCACATTGTCATAAAATCTGAATCTGGACAGAAGACAAAGAATTAAAAACAAAACAGATACTTCTTCCCACTCCGAAAGGAACAAAGTTTGTAAAAGGATTTTATTGTTAAGACTTTCCAGAAAGTGAACATTTTTAGAATTGGCTCAAACCTACCAACTCTTACCAAACAGCAAGCTGTTAAAACTCAGTTCAAATATCAGGTGTGTGCTGGATGAGTAAACAACTGACCGGTGAACTCAGAGCTTTCTTAATTTTTCTTAGTGTTTTGAAATCTTTCAATTTCAAGCTATGGCATCACAGGCAATTCTTTCCCCAAGACCAAAATAAGATACTTAATAAATGGATAAACATTCTCTTATTTGCTCAGGGTAAGGCTCAAAGTGTGACCAAAGTATACTTTGGACATTTAGAAGTAAATCTTCCCATTCAATATTCATTTCCTACCAAATGTTCCAGTTTCCTTACTTTGTCCTTTCCATGAAGTAGATGTAGAGCAACAGATATGTTCAAATCAGATACTCCCTTTCAAAAAAAAGGACAGTCTCCCACCACCATGGTGCTCTCAAGGATTTGATTTACTACTCTGTCAGTAGCTGGAAATAAGTGCTGTGAAAAAAAAAAGGGAACAAACATGCTGGCCACCTTCACTAAGGGCGGCTGGGGCAGAGGTGCGAGGGGCTGTTGCATCTCATTTGAGTAGCAGGAAGTATTTCCTATCCTGGAAAAGATTAATGTCATTTGTAGGGTGTGGGGCTACACTTCAGTGTTGAAAATTAAACTAATTAATGAGAAAGGTTTGTGAAGAATTGACATTTAATCCTAAAATACTTTGGCAAACTGGTTTTGCCAAATCTTAAAGTCTCCCTCAGTCCTGTTGATAGAGTACTGTCTGCCATACTCAGAAACTGAATTCACCCAAGGTTTTTAGAGAAATATGGTGCCCTTTGTCAGGTTTTCCAAAGCTTTACATTTCTTTAAAGCTTTATTTTATGAATAATTTATTCTGTAACACACCTTCATTATAGGCATACAAAGCCCTCTCTTATGAATTCCATAAAATTTCTTTAACATGCAGAGATTCTACAGAATCAGTGAGGGAACCAGTAAGTAAGACATTTGACTGGTTTTTGTCAATGGGTCACTGACAGGAATCTGCACAGCAAGCGTGAATTTGATTTCTAACGCTGAGCAGAAGCTACAAACATTTACTTTAAATACGTATTTAAATGGTCTGAAGCCACTACCTGCAAGTCAAGGGAGAGCAGCTCACCTTGCATTTTGGACACTTCTGGGCATTCCTCTGCCCGTGTTCGATTTCGTTGGCCCAGTGACGCAACAGCTTGTCTCCCTTCTTGTATTCTTTGCAGTTAACGCCTTCATGCCAGGGAGAGTGGCACTTGAAACACCAGACGAATTGGCAAGATGGACACTGGATCTGTATAAACGAGAAAACACCACACGTTTGCAAGCTGGGCGCAAATCCAATTGGAAAGCCCGTTTTAAAACCACTGCTCTTAAACCAAGAGAGTAGCTGCCCAGCAAAGGTCTAATGTTGAAATGTCTGTTTTAAAAATGCATGAAGTTGTGGAAGCGAACTTTTTTTTTTTCAAAAAAAGACAGAAAAATACAGGACTAATTGCTAAAGCCAGGAAAGGCCCCTGTAAAGGCAAACAAAGCACAAGTAACTTGGTTTAAGCATAGGAACTGCTTTCCAAATTCACTGTGTGGCTCAAATACCAAAAGGTAAAATCCAGGAACCCTGTTCAGTTGCCTTCAATACATGTGTCAGATCATCTAAAAATTAGCAGCCAGTTTTCAGTGTGGTGGATCTCAGTCTTCCAGTTATAAACTTCACTGCCAAGGCTACCACCAGAGTACCTGGTCTTCTGAGGGGGCTCTACAGAGCCTAGAATGGGTTATGAAGCTTATATTGGACATGGTCCTGGGAAAAAGGGACCAAGAAGAAGGGTCTCAACCAAGTGCCACAACTACCACCCAGAAGTCAGGTGCCTCCTTTTGCTCGTGATTGCGTAAGGGCAAGGTGAGGCTGTGCCAAACAGCCCACTTGCTACAGATGACACCTAACAGCAGAAAACACAAGTCAAGCTCCTTAAATTGACAAAGAATCTATTCTTCCCACTCCCTGGATTTCAAATCATTGCGTCAAACAAGTACCATGGTCACCATGTCTTCCTCCAGAGCCTGGCTATTTTTTCGAAAAACGGTATGGCAGCTGCTGTGTTTACAGAAGTACTAAACGCAGGCACGCTGCAGATGCTTATCTGATAAAAGACAGGCCTCCTGCCTGGATTGTGACTAAGGAAAGCACGAATTAGAAGCCACAATAGACACAGGCATATCTAGGCTCCTGCAACATCCTCACTTCTGCTGTGTTTGGCAGCAAAACATCTCAGCCTGAGTGACGGGAAGGCACACTCCTCTCAAGCGACTGCTGAGTCCTGTCCACCAGCTCCAGTTTGTGTCCATGCCTGGCACTGCTCTGGCTTTGTACGAGGTGACAGACAGGACTGAGGAATTCAACCAGCCAAAAAAAGGCTCTTTGGTTCTGTCTGTGTCCAGACTTGGTTCACCATCGAGCCACGGATGTCTGTGCTGGTCGTGCATGGTATGAGGATGCTGTTCAGGAAACTACATCCTAGGGTGCAGTCACATTAGACGGCCCCAAAACATATTTTCAAAGTCCTCACTCCCACCAGTTGCTGTGCCCTCTGCTCAGGCACCGACTGTTAGTGTGCTGCCTCAGCTCCAGTTAAGAGTCCAAAGTAGGTGCTCCCTCAAGTATTTTGCTGGGGGGCAGCCAGAATTATTATTTTCATGTGCAATTCCTACATCTATCACTACCAGCATGCTAACACAAAGCTGATCTCTCATGCATGACCAAGAGCTATCTGCTACCCTTAATGCTATTCCCCAAGTTCTAGACAGAGAGGTAGCATTTAGTTTTTTGCCTTTAATGTTTCACTTTAAAACCCTAATTGACACAATGGCTCAAGTTGAGCGTTTTTATGACCCTAGCTGATCCACTTTTCAGTAGCTGTCTTTAACTTCACCTGTAGAAGGTAAATTTTTTTTTTAAAAAACACTGCAGTAGTGTGTAACAGTCAGTTTCATTTGTATAAACTGATGTGCCTCTGTCTGTGCAGCACCGTTTAACCAAGTATTTTAACCTTTAATGGTGGACTATACGATATCTTGCTCAACGCATCACTTCAGCTTACCTCTTTATGCTAATCCACAAATACAGATCAGCAAATGCCAGAATGGGAGTTAGTAGTCAAGAGAATTAATAATTTTCTCACTATCCATAAGACAGCATTTCCCCCTCCAGGATCCTTTCCCTGGGCATAAGGCTAAAGCGCAAAGGGAAGCAACATCAAGAAGTAGACAGATTTTCTTCCTATTACAACATATTAACCTTTTAGTCAGTTACCATCTACTAGTTGTTATCCTTGTAAAAAAAAATCCTACATGCATTAAAGTGTTAGAATACATATATTTCCTTCATCTCAAGCAGACTTAAAGAGAGTATAATATTAAAACTTACTTACTGCTTTCTATAGCTAAAAGTAACATTTTTGTGAAGGCACACAGTAAGACACCTCACACAGAAGAAACCTACGCTTATTTCATTGACAGGAAGCATGTGATAAGCTACTGAAGACACAAGTAGGCAGCACAAAACCAGGAAAGAAAAACAAACAAAACTTGACTGCAGGGAAACAACATGTTAAAGCTGCAACGTGTGGATTACAAACATTATAGCTTTTTGCATGAAAACACAGTAATGTCTAAGGCCAGGATAAAACAAAAGCAATACGAAACATAACCAGTGCCCTTTCTGTGATTTGTTGGTCTGCTGGCCCAGATGCTACACCAAAGGAAATACACTATCCTGGACCTCTGTTTCCCAGATGAATTCTCCTAATAAAAAAAACTTAATAGGAAAGAGGAAAATTCCCACTCTGAAGAACCTAAACAACGGCATATTTATTGCTACTAACCAAACTAACACAGAGCACTGATCTACGTTTCCACAATCCTTTAGAAATTAATATGCACAAGATATTAGCTTACTAGCAACTGTCCCACCCAACAGCTCCATATCTTTTTTTTTTTTTCCTTCTTCCCTGTCTCCTCCTGTCCTCCCCCAGCTTCTAATTTACCTTTTTCAATACTGCATGTCACAGTGACCTACTGCTGGGAAAACAGATTATAGCATGCATCACGTTATATTACTCAGTATTTGTTATATTTCAGCCAAAGATGAAGCTTGTAGCCACAATTAAGTGTTCTCCAACTGGAAAGCTTTCATCAGCTGCAGTATTCAGACATTTGAGATGGAACAAGAATGTTAAAAAATGCAAATCCAAACCAACTGATCTGGGAAGCTGCAAGTTAAAGCTTGCTTCTTAAATGAAATGCCAACATAATCTGAAACACAAGTTTTGTGGGTTTGTTTTTGTTTTTTGAAAATCTGACACAAACTCATTGCAGGCTCCATCCTTCTACTATAGCACGTATATAACTGCAAGAAATATAGCATCCATCAGGATATATATTGAATCTTATAAATGCACACTGACATCAGATGTTTCCAAATACGTTACTTAGAAAGTACTGAAATACAGGATGAGGCTATAACCGCATGAACTCAGAATAACATTTGTTACCACGAATGGCCCTGACTCACTGAAGTAAACTAGTGGGAACTGTCTACTTCATTACTAGGTTTGGAGTTCCTAGTTTCCTCTTCCACCTGCCACCCCTGACAGCATCTTCCACAAAACCGAACTGGTAAATAGTTTTTACAGTTTGAATGGGCCACTTGACTTCTCTGTTGTTCAATACTGTCTGAACACACATTAAGCAGGCAAAGAAAAGTATGTTCTTTTTAAAGTACTTATGAACCTTATTTTTCTTGGAATTAGCGGCCACAAAATAAAACCCTAAACCTATTCAAACTTGGATACAGTGTGACACCAGTGCACTTCAACAGGAACACAACAGTGCAATCAGAGCAGTCTTTCAGATTCTTATTCTATTCTTTCTCTGCTTTTCTGGAAGAAAAAAAGTCAAGTAATATTTGCTTTATGTTTCAGTATTAGTGCATGAAATCATCATAATAAGAACACAGAAATGCTATCTACATATAATTTAAAGCAGTAAACTATATAGTTTGTCTGCTTTGCTGGACTATAATATCTCAAAAAACACCAAACAGTAATCTAGTGTTTTCTCAAATACGTTTTTCCTCACACAAACTTTTTTCCATTTATTTTACGACTTCCATTTCAGTTGATCAGAATTGAGAGGATGGATATATACACAAACTTCTATGCCATCTGGAGGTCAGTCTCCCTTGAAATAGAAAAGATTACACAACTTCTCATACTAACCCTTTTGGTTCTCAGCTTTCTGAAACACTGACCTTTGAGGCTAACATTTTCCATTTTCTTAGCCAGCCTCTTTACTGCAGACTATTCTAACTATCATTTTCCTCGCCTCCCAGGAAAAGACCTTTCAAAATTAGGTAGGTAACAGCAACACAAAACACTGCTTGATGTGGGATAACTATAACTGACTGCACATTAAAAAAAGATCAATGTGACAGCCTGAAGCTGCAAAGAGTTAGGAGGATTTTCTGCTGCTTAGTGGAATGCTAGCTATATAATAGGATGGCTGAATTAATTGCGCAATTAACTGATTACATGAATTACCATCTCTAGCTACAGCTATACAGTCACTTTATCCAAAATAAGTATGGGCTTCTGTCAAAACAGCTGCCGTCTCCTCATCACCAACCCGTCCTCTCTCTTGTACCAGCTGAAAATAAGCAACAACAAACCAAACCAATCTTGTATCGCATTGGAGCTGATCTTTGATCCAGCTCCCAGTGTGACATCAAAGCGTCAACATGAGCAAAAGCAAGCTGGCAGGAATGAACAGCTAAGAGCAAAGAGGGAGAGCACGGCAAAATCGCCACGTCCACAGCAGTTCAGCCTCAAGGCAGACTGAAGTGATGTGCAGCCACGAAGATATCTGCTACTCAAGGTTAAAATCTGACACAAAAAGGGAGGAACTGATTGATATGAACCACACAGATCCACTCTTTCACAGCGTCCCTTCAGGTACAGACTCTTACTAGTTCTAGCATAACAAGTTTCAGAACGTCTCGAGTAGTTCAAACAAAAGATAGTTTATATAACGACTACACTGAAAAAAACATTTAATATTTCCAAAGCCAAGCACTCAAGCCTTTCTTTTATGCGATGTGTATCTCGACAGAAATGAGCAAGGAAACTTCATTATGAACCTCACAGGTTAACCAATAAGGCAGAGATCGAGTCCAAAAAATCAAGAACTGCTTCTTTATGGGAGGTGGCAGGTCAAAGAACTAACATTAAAATAACAGCTGAAATCCAGGGTTTAGGGGAAAAAAATTCAAAAAAAAACCCAATCCAAAAAACCCCTCACAGAACAAGCCAACATACTCACTCTTGTGAAACTCATCTGTTCCATACATAGGAACTACCAATTTTCCCATTTGTGCCCGTTTCCTTTGCAGTTTGGCATACCAGCTTTGACCAAAGGTTTATCAGGATCTTCTCTGCAAACAAGTCTTATACTTCCAATTTAGGTCATAAGAGAGGGGGCAGGGGTATTTCCTTATTTAAAGCTGGATCCATTTGTGATACAAATATTTGGTACAGGAAACAATGTCACACTGCTGTACTGTGCTGTCTTAAGTAACACTAATGGGAGAAAAAGGTTTGGAAAACAAGTTTCCCTTTTCTTCCCCTCCTTAACAGACATGCACCAGGTAACTTTCTAGGCTTAGCAAATCAAGACTTCTATCTTAGAAACGAAAAACAGCAGCAGTAAACTGAACTGCTGGGCTTAGATCAGTTTAGCTGACATGAAACAGCTATAGTAAGGAAAATTAATCTAATAACTTTGCTACCTCTTTAAATTTAGATGTTAAGTTTATTTATAATTTTAATTCGTGTACCAAATTTTAGGAATGCTATTAATAACATTTCAACAGCATCCGTTCAAATGTACTCTCGTATTTTACAGTGTTCCTGTTGCAGCGTACAGGAAAGTGAGGACACTGGCACTGAGCCCTCGTGTGCAGTGATCCTACTAGTAGGCTTGTGCGTAGACTTTCCCCAGGCATGACTCAGTTCTTCTGAAGGCAGCACTTCCAGCGCTGGCACAGAATTCCTCTGGTGCAATTGCTGTTTATATTGCTTGCATGTGAATATGTGAGTCTCCTAGTCTCCAGCCAGATGCCTCCGATGCTATATGCAGAAGAAAACGAGTCCATACCGCCGAAGAGCCTTTAATTCCAGGCACAGGCAAGTTATTATACAAACAGTCACACGAGAATCTAAGAAAACTGAGACAATAATGGTCCATAGCTATGTATGTATTTACTCACACATACACAATCTCATGCATAGTCCTCCTTCTAAATCTTATCCCTGCAGCAAAATTCATTCTTGTGCTAAGCTTAAAATAAGTCACTAAAACTGTACCTACGTCAGAGAACAACAAAGGTTCTGGGAGCAGACCGAAGTGCTGGACCATGATTGTCCATGCTGTTTGCTAGCACTTTCCTAATTGTATTTCTGACCTGCATCAACTAGACATTCTTCCAGGCAACACCTGGCCACAGCTCAAAGAACACGTTTTGCCAGAATCTGTTCCCAAGAGCAGACCTGAGCTCTGCAGATCAGAGCTACACAATGCATCACCACAGGACCAGGTAACTGCTTCTGGCCTGCACTTCATGCATCACACAGCCTCCCATTCCTTCCGATTATGGTTTGTAGGGAAGTGGTGGGAACATTTTAACTACAGCATTTTAACTCATAAAAGAGCACTGGTGGGCAGAACGACCCATTTTGTGCTTTGAGGAATATTCTCAGAGTTGGCATCCCACAATATAACAGTTGCTCCAACTGTGACCCACACCAGCGGGACAGTAACAGCCTCTGGCACCTTAGGAGAGGCTGCTGCAGAAGCGTTAGGACATCTGATCTACCCTGAACCACACACCCTGTCTACACCTGAGGGAATGCTAAGCGGATGAGTGAAGGAGAATGGCTGTGGGCAGAAGGAATTTTACCCACAGTTTTGAATTTCTCCACCTCCGTGTAAGATGCCAAAAATCTGAAAACGCTGAGTTCAACAGACATCGTGGCATGCGATTCATGCACTGCATAGATATACATAAGGAGCTCATAACTCAGAGTTAGCTTTACCAAGGTTTCAACTCCACTGGATATACAGCCTTCTACCTTTTCATCTCCACACCAGGCTGAATCTTGTGCTGTGCAATTAGGGCTATCTAAACAGTCATCTAAACTCCTACTGAGGAGAACTGGTTTGTCCAGGAAAGGCCAGCTCTATCATGAAGTTAACCACAACAAACCTAATAACTGGACTGAAAATAACACAGAGCATGATGCTGCAGATAGAACCTTCGTGTTCTGGAAGTGAGATGGATCTTCAGCAGCTTAAAGCTTCTTCTAATTGTCATCTCTTGCTTTTTAACTTTGATTGAAATCACGGTATAAGCAAATCTAAAAGGAATGCTGGACAAGTGAGGATTTGCCTATTTCTCAAGTTTGCTGTATTTGAGTGATGAGACTACAATAATGTATAACCTCTGTAAAGGGACTGAAGAAATCGAAACCAAGAAGCAGGACAGACAAGAGGTCTAGTTTTAAGGAAGAAGCATGGCAACAGTCTAACACCATAAATGCCCAGAATTCATTTGCTCAGAGTTTCTGGGCAAACTTATCTTTACTGGAGTTGTGTGTCTAAAATTATCCGTTACAGCGATAACTTCCCTTCCCCAGCCTCTTCTGATCGTGACTATATTTTGTTTGCATGTCAGAGAGAAAACTCTCTTTCAATTGTATGTCAGGACAAAATTACGCCACCTGACAAAGAAACAAGGACTGAAGTTCAACTACTTGACCTGTTAGAAATCAATTAAGTAGTTCATCAGTGATGTACTATAGATTCATATTCCTAATCACAGCTTGCACACAGCCCCAGCAATGCAAGAAAGCTCATTTAACGCCCACCAAATGCTGTCCTCCTCTTGCGTCACCATCTAACCCACGGCCCCGGCAAGCATGCTCACTTTGTATTTGTTCTCCAATTTGGCAGGGGTAGGAATGTGGCCTCTCCTCCGGAAGGTTGTAAAGTGCTTGCACTGAGGGCATGGCTTGGTGCTGGAGTCAATGCGGCTGAGTTCCAGGAAATATTTATACTTGATGATGTCGTCGTGGGGCAGGTTATAGAGGACAGTTGTTTCATCCAGGTGTTCGCTGCACTCTGTGATTGGGCATTTTATATCCGCTTGTCCCAGCTGCACCTGCATATGAAAAAACCAAGAATAGCTGTTTGACCTTTTGCTTGGAAAAAGGTAAGCAAGCATTTATGAATTTTGTGAGGAAATTTAATTTCAAGTATTGTAACAATTCACAGACTATCAAGCATATAGTCTTAAAATTATTTTGACTTAGTCCAAGCATGCCACATTTTTTTCCGAGAGAATATTTTGAAATCCAAATAGAAAAGCTAACTACCTTTATGACAACTGCAGTTATTAAACGTATAGTCTCAGTGTACGTACCATGTCTATGTACTTTGCAAAACCAAAACACCAGTCCTTACCAGCAGCACCCATCCAGCACTCCACACTTTGTGTGTAATGGTCAGCGTTCCACTACCATGCCTCACACAGGCTGTGAGAAAGCAGGCAGTGGAAACGTTTGTGTACTGTTTCACTGCAAAACATGCTGGGAATCACAGCACAGAGAAATTACAGTCTATTGAGGATCATCAGAGTCTAGCAGCTCTGACTCAGTGCTAGCCCTGAGCTGGTTCCTGCTCAGCAAAGCTCAATCTGCTTCCAAGAAGCTCCTCATATGCCATGCTGCATAAGCAGAAAGCGTTAGCTGAGCCTGGAGCTGACCAAGCTAATACATTTTCCCAGAACTCAGAGCTAGAGTTCAAAAACAACCCCTGAAAAACCCTTAAAAAAGCCCCCAAAAAGACAACCAAAACAAGTTAACATGTGCAGAAGCATGCTCAAGTTTAACAGGGCTGAAACTATTGTTGATCTAATGAGCCCCGACGGTCCCAGGCTGATCCATATGGTCAGATATCTGCAACGCGTTTCCAGAGCTCCTGGATAAGAGAACAGCGCGGGACCCAGGTCTGCACTCTTCACACTTGGCAGGCTCCAACAGCTCAGACTCCATGCCAAGCCAGCAGATCCTACTTGGTCTGGGAGCAGCAGAGCAGCGTTTGCTTGGCACTGAGCCGGAGCTGTTAAACCCTGCTGCACCGTGAGAGCCTGCAAGGACCTGGCTTGAGCACGTTTGTGTCTGCCTCAAGCAATTGTGAATGAACCAGTGTTGACTGTACAAGTGGAGCTGACCACCAGCCCAATTCCTTCCTTAGTGACTATCTCCATGCAGAAAAAATGGGGGTTAGTGGTGTAACCAGCATCTCTTTCCAGGAATTACTCCTTCAGGGTTGGCAAGTTTGATTCCCTTAGACTGCTTATTCTTTAACGTGCTCCATTATGGGAATCTGCCAAACAATACACTAAATATGATAGGAACACCTCAGATGTGGACATGGATTTCAATGCTGCATAGTGGTACCAGAAGACACATCAGACACTCCATTAATGCAGTATTTAAGTTAAGAAAGGAGGAAAAATAACTAAAACCCAACACAACCCTGTCACTGCTGCCTCAGCAAGGGAGCCATATGGGCTCTAACCGAATGATAATTAGTCAGGAGCCAGAGGATTAGAAGACTCATAACAAAATCAAATAAAACTCAAGGCTCATACTGATTTAAAAAAAAAATAATCTCTATTACACTATCTTTGTTCTCTCAGCACTGTAGCTACTGTGGCTAAACCCAAGCAGAACAAAGAGGTTAGGTATATGTTAGAGAGAGGAAAAGCAGAGTGAGGACAGCAGCAGCGCATCCCAGACCAGAGCACGGCAGAGGAGACCTCAGCAAGCAATGACTGCCCCAGTGCCCTGAGCAGCCTCAGCTCAGGGTGCAAGCAGACCTGCCTGCAGTATGGAGGAGAGGCAGCTCCACCAGCAATACACCCACTCTTAGGAGGGAACTTCCCTGAATTTCACTTCCAGCTCTGAAAGGTGAGCAGAGCTCTACCACATGCAAACAAGGCTAGGCTCAAACAGTTTCGGCTTTTGCATGGACCAGTGTAAGTACAGGAGGAGTATGTACTCAAAGGTATTAAAAAAACAGCCGTGCAAAACCACACAAACTACACGCTGAGGAATGTCCACATTTCCTTCCTATAGGACACCAATGCACTTGTAGCAGCATGTAAAAGTTGAACTCAAGCATATGACACCACTAGAGTGACTCTTCTCGGAAGAATCATCCAGTATATCATGAAGCTATGCTTAAAAAGCAGATGATCAATCCAGCACTAGAGTACTCAAACATGATGAACTAGGAAAACAATTTCCTACAGAAATACAGAAAGTTATTTCACTACTGCAAAGACTAGTATAAGCTTCTGTTTAAAGAAGTGTAGGTACAACGATTTAAAACCAAACAGTTAAATTAAACCCATCTGCAACTACTTTAGGTTTTTTTTGGTGGTTTTTTTGTTGTTGTTTTTTTAAGCATTAGTAAAATACTAAAAGAGGCAAGCCCTAAGTAAACTAAGCTACAGTGGAGCAACACTTCACAGTGAGAAGGCACATTGTATCTGGCATCTAAGCTGGTACTTAAGAAGCACTGCTTATATTAAATGCTTGTTAGAACAAACCTGCATTAATAAAACGAAGGAATACAAAGCTGAACACTTTCTGGATTTCATGCCCACACAGAATATGATTAATATATGTGGTAAGAGTCAAGTGCAGTTTCAGTGTTTATTTTGAAAATATGTTTTACACCCACTTGCAGTAAATCATTTTTATCCTCTGTAATAGTTTCAGCCTTTCAAGTCTGGCAAAGATTGATCTTTTTCCTGTGTTTTGAATGGGACTGAAGTGAACAGAGCTGGTTTGCTTATTAGCAGTAACTTCAATGGAGCCTTGTCTTACCAAAACAGTCCATCTTTGTTTGTGCACTAGCATCAGCAATTGATGTAAGTACAGCTTTAGAGGTAGCCTGTTAGGCTACCTGCTGCTGCAGACGCAGGAGGTGCTACAGAATGGGGAAGAAAAAAAACGCTAATAAGATGGGTAAAAATAACTATTTTTATTCTTTTCCTAAACTTTTTTTTTTAAAGAATTTTGAAGAGCCTTATCCTTCAATATCAGTTTATCACAGTGTCAACCCCCCTAAGTTTTAAGGAGTCTTTGAATTTCAAAATACCACTATGCATTAAGAACTTAAGAACTCTGGGAATACACAATAGCATGGTGTATTTTCACAGCAGGAGGAACGACTCAGGTATGTCTAAAAGCAGCTGAGCTGCAGCAGTGTTAAATGTCGGGCAGCATCATCCAGCTTTTACATCCAGCTGTGCTTCACTTCTGTAAAGCATCTCAGGAGGGGCTAGCTCTGTTTACAATTCACAGGGAGAAAGCAGTCTCTTGCGACCTTCATCCTACAGAAAGCTAACATTTAAACTATCAAGAGATACACGTACCTTCCCCTTCTAATTTTTCTGATGTTTTATTTGAAAAGATTTGGAAGGGGGGAGGGGGTGTGTGGAATGGGGGGGACCGGACCCAGACTCTACACCGGTCCACTTACTGCTCCAAAATGCAGCAATAACAGCAACAGAAAACAGAAACAGATGGCATGGTACTTTAAGTCAGAAAATTATTTCCACCCCCCGAGCTTTCTTTTAAAGAAAATCTGTATTAACTACACAGAAAGCAAAGTTCAAACTACACAGCAAGCACTGATTTATACCTGTCATTTAGCCTGGCCCAAGCTGGATGTAGCATAACCTGTGCACGCGGTACTTAAGCAGCTGTATTACAGCTCTGTTCCTTAAAAAGGGGCCATTCTACTTCAAAACAGATATATACAAATGAGCACTTTTCTAACTGAAACTTTACTCTTAGTTCAGAGATGCATATGCTAAATAAACCAGTAAATTCTGCTTACTTCTTACCTGTTAATGCTGAAAGAAAAGTGAACAGTGCCATGTCTAATCTCCACCTCTGTGGAGAAATTAAATTTCTACTAGTGCACCAAATTCTGCCCTGTAAACTACCAAGGATGTTACACAAAAATATTTTGGAAATGCACAGATGCAAGTCAAGGCATAGTCTGATCTACAGGGGAAGAAACAAATGGATTAATGTTCCCTTTATTTATAAACAAAATTCCATTGCTTTCTAGTTCACTGGTAACATTGCTCTTTCATTTTTGCTGGTTAGTTGCAAATCAGTGAAGAATTACTTTTCTTGTGGGTTTAGGAAGTGTAGAGTGTCATTGTGAATTTGTTTTCTTTAAATAAAATTCTGGAAAATACTTGGAAGGGCTCACCATGGTTCAGGACTCCATAGTGGTAGGTGCTAACCAAATGAAATCCAAGCAGACATGATTCAACAAGTGCAAACCAAAGACAATGCAAACTTCTACTAAGCATTTTGCACCTCCCTTTAAGATTGTGGTTCCATGACCATTTCTGTGGTTTGAGTACAAACTTCAGCAGTCCAGATCCCCTACCTCCGATTTGTGCCAGTGATACCCTGGCATTCTCCATCGAACTCCTTTCACCAAAAAAACACCCTATGAAACAGAATCTCTTTCTCAGCCCATCTGTCCTCCCTCCTTACTGTCAAACGGCACAAATCCTCAGTGCTGCAAGGCAAGCAAGAACGAACAGCTAGAACTAACAGTAATTAGATTAGAGGCTACTTCAGTTTTATCACCAGGAAACAGGAAAACAGACTGGGTTTCCTCTATGCCACCTCTTCCACCAGACATCTTCATACAACATCTTGGCTGTTGTTCATTACTTCACAAACCATACTCCACGAGGTATGTTTCACTTTTATTCTCCTTTTTATTCATTTCTCAATACAGCAGACTTGCAATAAATGACTTTCTGAATCCCTTTCTCATTAAGTCACCCCATGGTTGTCTTTGCCAAACACCACCTGGAACCTCACTTCAGCTGAAAGCTGTCACTCCCCTCCCTAGGAAGGAAGGGCTTGACTAGCCCTTAGTGGGGTGTATATTGCTGACCTCAAAAAGACAGAGCTCAAAACGGTGAGGATCTCTTCCACATTGGCATGGAAATCAGAATTATTGGTTTTTTAGTTTTAATTCATATTTTCTGCTATGCCAGGAAATATCCAAGTGACCACCAAAACAACTAGAATAAACAGTCTTTATAGCCAGTGCAGA